CTCTTGGATAATTAGTCACCTTTATTATATTGATATCTTGGATAATTAGTTACCTTTATTATATTGATCTCTTGGATAATTAGTTACCTTTATTATATTGATCTCTTGAATAATTACTCACCTTTATTATATTGATCTCTTGGATAATTAGCCGCCTTTGTTATATTGATCTTATGGATAATTAGTCACCTTTGTTATATTGATCTCTTGGATAAATAGTCACCTTTGCTATATTGATATCTTGGATAATTAGTCACCTTTGATATATTGATCTCTTGGATAATTAGTCACCTTTATTATATTGATATCTTGGATAATTAGTTACCTTTATTATATTGATCTCTTGGATTAATAGTCACCTTTATTATATTGATCTCTTGGATAAATAGTCACCTTTGTTATATTGATATCTTGGATAAATAGTCACCTTTGCTATATTGATATCTTGGATAATTAGTCACCTTTATTATATTGATCTCTTGGATAAATAGTCACCTTTGTTATATTGATCTCTTGGATAATTAGTAATCTTTGTTATATTGATCTCTTGGATAATTAGTCACCTTTGTTATATTGATCTCTTGGATAATTAGTCACCTTTGTTATATTGATCTCTTGGATAATTAGTCGCCTTTGTTATATTGATCTCATGGATAATTTCATAATATCACCTCTTACCTTTCTTTTCTTACCAGATAACATGCTGAGATCATAACTTGTTAGGTAATTCTTCTACCCCCAGAATCATCCTACCTACCTTTCCTGAACCATTTCCAATAAATCAATATCTTTTGGAGACCAAAACTGTACATAGTATTCCAAGTGAGGCCTAACTAGACATTAGTATAGAGAGTTAATTGTGTATTTTGACTTCTCAATATGTCTATAAATACACCAGAGAATGCTAACAACTTACTACTACATAACATGTACAAAATCGTGTCACAAATTTTCAAAGTGGGTATGAAACCCCCCTTGCCTAACACTAGACTAAGGAACTATGCCGATCCTATGGTTTATTGTTGGCTTTTATACGTTAAAAATTTCTTGCAATCCTCGAATAAAATAGTGTTATGATGATGAAATGTCATCTGTGAATGTTATATAATTAGATAACTTTGTATTAGAAAATGATCAACAGAAGTCAAGATACCATGTTTGCTGGGTTATAAGTTTCTTTTTCCTTAATGTTAGCTCTCATGGGACATTCACTACCATAAAACTGGCCAGCTGACTGGCTTTCAGCTTTATCCAGTGGGCATCTACCCACAGCTGACTCGTGTTTGGCTTGGCTGTCATTCTGGGAGTTGTTGGATTTATCTGCATGCTTCACCTGCTCTGAAGAGTTTTCTTTGTTCTCACTGACATTCACAATGCCCAGGGGTCCAGAAACTTGAACTCCAGATGAATTGTTACCCATTGTTCGGCACTATCTAATTCTAGAATCAAAAACAGAGTACAAAGATTCAGTATCATTAAATAGAATCAAATCCTCATGTTTCATTAAGCTACGTATATTGCAGGGAAAACTAACAAACTATAAGGGAATTAATTCACATTTAACAGCAACTTAGAAATCTTTATCAAAGTGATACAGCAGTTAAATATATTACTTCACAACATTTTAACTTATTACATTAAAACAATACAAAATAATGAATATATTTATCTGGACTTTGTGTTCAATTTGTCTTGATAAATATTATAATGAAAATTTAAACCAAGTCAAACAAATATCAAGGTTGAAACTGAAATACTCAAAACTTTCAGTAAAAAAAGAAAAGAAAAGCACAAAAAATTTAATAACCAAGTATTTCACTAGAAAGCTAGCAATATAAGCTTTAGGCTGTTATTCTTCCCACAGTCAAAAGGTATTTTAAATCAAGCCTCTCCACAACTTGATGATATCCCTCATGTGGCCAGAACTACATATGATATATATGAAATCAAGCCTAACCAGTCTTGGTTAACAAAAATTCTCACTCTTCCAAACTTCTAAACACAAAACTTTATTAGTTTATTTTTTTAGCAGAGCAATAGACTGTACTGAAAGCTTCCAGCTTTTAATAAAAACAAACATATGGGATTCTCTTTTTCCATAACTACAATACTTTTCTCGTGCTAGTTCTTTCCAAATAAACAAACACCTAATGCATAACATTACATTACCTAGATGTTAAGAACACCAATGTTCCTTTTGAACAAAAGTGACACTCTCAAAGTAATTTCTTAGCATTCTAATAAATAACCTATTTTGTCACTCAAAAGGTTTACCTACAAAATTCTGCCTTCAACCTGGAGATACTGGAAGTAAAGTACACAGGAAACAAATACATAAGATCATTATTTTAATGTTTTAATCATAAATAATGCTGCTAGTTTCATACTCTATTCTAAATAGATGTATACAATACCATAAGTTAAATACAATGAAGTATATTTATCAGTTGGGTATCATCACTGTTAGGGATATTTTAGGCACTGCAGTTTTGGAACTTATGGTTGTATTATCACTTAGTTACTGGAACTAAATCCTAAATTGGTCAGATAGAAGAATAAAAAAATTTGAATAAATAAATTATATGAAATATCAAACATCTTTCATTAAACAAATTCACGCATAACAAAATGAACATCCATAAAAACTACAGTGATTGGACTCGTAATCATTTTAAACTGAGAGAAAACTTTTCCCTTTCTTTTAAAGTCCAGGGGAAGAGATATTTTTCAACACTCGGTTTTACTTAAGATACAGAGCAGATCTGCTGTTAAATGCAGTTACTGTAAATTTCTTTAATCTCTCGATACAGGGCATTTATAATTTACGCTAACCCTTCCCCCATTCTATTGATAAGTATTATAATGTCCTCGGTTTTGATGAAATATATCTGGTACTGGTAGCTTTATCAGTTTATGTAATACTATTTAGATCTACTACTATGTTTTTGTGCTAGATATTATACTTGTATTGTAATACTGATCCCAGTATTTACTATTATTATCATGTTTATATATATACATCAGTATTTCATATTTTTCCGATTATAGTACTAACTACTTTTATTACTTACAACTTGTAGTTTTACTGCTACTACAGTAACTACTAGTACTTTACAATGTACAATGGTAGGTCATTACTAGCAGTAGACTCGTTGTAAAGTCTGTTAGCGTCCAAGTTAGCTTAGAAGATTAAAAGAAACAAAATTCGTACCTTTTTACCTCAAGTAGCAAAATCTCGTGGTTTACTAGAAGGGCATAATCACTGCCACCTAGCGTAGCTATTCATATTAGCAGCTAAATGCACAATACACTGTAAAGTAATCTGAAATAAAATAAAATTTATCTCCACTGTTGCGTAACATCACCAATTTTTTAAGGTAGTTTCTGAAAAATAATAATTTCAAAGTTGTTTATAAATATTTCAACACCATTAACATTTATTGCCTCCTAACAAGTTTGCACCTCAAGTTAAGTTAAATAGCAGGGTGTCTATACAATCTCCTGCTAATCTTGCGAAAAAGTTTATATTGGCGAAACTGGCAGAAATTTAGATAAAAGACTCGCAAATCATGAAAAGGATGTTAAAAATTGTCAAACAAATAATGCCAATTTTCTATAGATAAGGAATCCTGGTAATTAAATCAACTGGAAATCAGCCAAACTAATACACAAAAACTAGAAATTGTGCAAAAGATGAAGTGTGGAAAGTTCATAGGTTGTTAAGGTGAAACGCCTCTGAAGGTCACTTTAAGATGAACCCTTTTCTGACGTCATTTGTCTTTAAGGGACTTGAAATTGTGGTTATTTGTAGAATAAATTTTATATCTATCTCTCTCACAAACAAACATTGGACTGAAGAGGGCACATGAAAGTGTAGAAACTTGTATCCATATAAATTTGGTGTTTTTCCGTAAGAGAGGATTTAAATTTTATTTTACTTTAGCCATTCGCGTTTCTCACAGTAAATATAACACTGAAGACTTTATAATTGCAAAAAAAAATTCACATAACAGTTGTATTTGTATAAAATGAAACGGAAAATCACTGGCTAAGATATTTTAAAAAATCTGTTTTAAATGCGTATATTGTGAAATCTCGTTAAATATGAGTTCAATGTGCCTAATCAATTAAATTTATTTTTTAACATATTTTCTCAATAGAAAACTAACGCCACTAATCACAATAAGTTAATAATAAGTTTTATGTTAGAACAATTTGTATGGGATGAAAGCTTTTTCTAAGCTGGCGAAATATGATTATAATTAATTACAAATGTCATAAGACACCAGCATTAGGCATACTGTATTTTTCACGGTACAATATATTCTTTGCTCCATCCCGTAGCGTTTGTCAAGAAGAAGATTGTATAATAATAATTCAACCACACTATGTCTGCCTATTCATTGCCGACGACGCGGTTCACTGAATAAAGACCTCATCAGGACATCTGATGAAATTTCAAAATTTTAGCATAAAATAAAATTTAACCTCGTCAGTTCTATTACTTCCCCCCATATTCTATGCTCTTCCCAAAGTTCACTAGTGTGTGTATATTCGAATATACTGTAAAAATTCCAAAGAGTTTGTTACTAAGCTAAAAAACAAAAAGGTGAATGAAAAACATAAAAAGCTTATTCATTAAAGTCCCAATAGATGGCGCCCTAAAAGTATTATCTAGAATATGAAATGAAATTTTTACCCAGCCTACTGCGAAAGATGAACTAACATACCTCGTTAGAGAATATATTGGTAACTTCTACTTCAATATATATTTTTCTCACTGAAACCACGGTCTTAACATGGACAGTCTACTACTCCCTTTCCTTTGTGTGAAAAAGAAACAAAACAACCCTAGCTAGGGTTTGAAATCCTTTATAAGATAACAGTATATACAACAACGTCTCAAGCTCGGCATTTCCATAACTTTGTACAGCTTTTAGAATGCATACCGAAACACAAGATTTAACTATTTTTTTCTGAGGATAGATGTTTTTCTACGATAAATATACCAATAACCAGTTTGGTAATTATACAGTGCTGTGTTCGACTTAAGGTGAAGTAGCATATGATGTAAGTTAGCGCCACAATATAAAATTCGGCGATACATAAGCATTAATGTCAGTTACGATTGTTACATTTATCACTGGTAAGTTTTATCCAGAAAAATACATGATGCATACTCACACAATCTGCAAAACCTACTCACATGTGTTAAATAATTCCTGCACCCATAACTGGGGTGTAACTCTGTGTTAATTCTCGTTTGAATAACTGGGGTGTAACTCTGTTAATTCTTGTTTGAATAACTGGAGTGTAACTCTGTGTTAATTCTTGTTTGTATAACTGGGGTGTAACCCTGTGTTAATTCTTGTTTGTATAACTGGGGAATAACCCTGTGTTAATTCTTGTTTGTATAACTGGGGTGTAATTGTGTTAATTTTTGTTTGTATAACTGGGGTGTAACTGTGTTAATTCTTGTTTGTATATCTGGGGTGTAACTCTGTTAATTTTTGTTTGTATAACTGGGGTGTAACTCTGTGTTAATTCTTGTTTGTATATCTGGGGTGTAACTCTGTGTTAATTCTTGTTTGAATAACTGGGGTGCAACTCTGTGTTAATTCTTGTTTGTATAACTGGGGTGTAACTCTGTGTTAATTTTTGTTTGTATAACTGGGATGTAACTCTGTGTTAATTCTTGTTTGAATAACTGAGGTGTAACTGTTAATTATTGTTTGAATAACTGGAGTGTAACTTTGTGTTAAGTAGTTCTTGTTTGTATAACTGGGGTGTGATTGTGTTAATTTTTGTTTGTATAACTGGGGTGTAACACTGTGTTAATTCTTGTTTGAATAACTGGGGTGTAACACTGTGTTAATTCTTGTTTGAATAACTGGGGTGTAACTGTGTTAATTCTTGTTTGAATAACTGGGGTGTAACACGGTGTTAATTGACAACAGGTAGTTGTTGTAATAAAGTGAAAAATGACAGGCTAGCAGATTTTCCTAACAAAGCTAAATTCTTTTTTTACGGGTGTTAAAGATAAGTAAACATGACCTGTCAGACTTAAAATTATCTTTGAAACCGTTTTTATAAAACAAAACTACATACATTGTTGTATAGTCGTCAAATATATGGTAATTTAGACAAAACACATTTGTTTTTCTTTCCACACAAGAGTTCAAAATGACTTGTTACATACCTTTTAAACTAATGTTCATTAATTTTTAGGTTTCAAAGATACTTTCATAAAAAGTGACTTAAAATACAAACGACTGACCCGATGTGTAACCTTAATCCATATGTTTTCTTTCTTTTTTAATTTCATAACACTGTCCTCATTTTCAGTGTTTTCTATATTTCAGCACAATATGGATATAATTTCAATGATGCATAAATGATCAAAGAAACGGGTAAAAATGGAAGAACTTGTTTCAAATATCCCTTTTTTTAAGGTTCGTGTAAATAAAGACACCATGAATCATCTCCTAGCTGTAAAAAGTACTTTATTTACAGAAACAGACTTCTACTTTGTATTTGAAGTTAACTTAGCCATCGGTTTTGTTCCACCTCGTACATTTTATCTAATGCCCAACAATTTTTTTTTTTGTTCTGCGAATATTCACATACTAACAAACCATGTTGTTTTTTTCAACATTTTGTTACATTAAACAAATTCTGTGTTTTAGCCTAGTTTGAACAACGGAGCAAAAGATCTTTTATCCAGGGTGGCATAAGCAGACCTCAAAATAAGACGACATTTGTCATATCAATTGTGAAGCAAAACTTACATAACAGCATTACTGAAATTAAATATGGAAGAATAAATTCATTGTTTTGGAATCATGTGTGACAGTTTTACACCTAGTAACTCATACTTTTGAATCATGTGCCACAGTTTTACACAGAGTAACTCATACTTTTGAATCATGTGCCACAGTTTTACACAGAGTAACTCATACTTTTGAATCATGTGCCACAGTTTTACACAGAGTAACTCATACTTTTGAATCATGTGCCACAGTTTTACACAGAGTAACTCATACTTTCCTCCACTTAGTTGCTGTTTAAATAAAAGTACAATTAAGATGTATGTTTATTATCACCCAACATCTTAAACACAGAATTTTAAGATCTATGTACTAGTACGAAAAAATGACCTTTTTTCCTTTTTTTTTAAACAAATAAAATTTACATCAAATATACATACATACCATTTTTATAATTAATGTTTTAATGGCTTAAAAAAATATAAAATGCAACAAAACATACTGTTACGTATCTTATGTCTGAAACGGGATAAAAAACACCATTCTACTGTCATAAGCCTATCACTACAATGTGCGAGCCATACACAAACATATAAATGAATCGTTACCTACTGCTTCAAAACAATCAATTACACAGATTCATGATTCAATTACAGCCTAAAGAACTGTAAGAGCTGAAAAAAACATCGAGAGAAAAATACTTTGTTGTAGGAGTATTGTACAGATAAAATTAAAATATTCCTGATAAAAAATACACATTAAAAACTATAATTTTTAAAAGAAAAAATTTTGTTCACAAATGCTATTAAAAATTAACGAGTTTCAATAAATTCAAATGATCAAGAATTTTACTTAATGAATTATATAAACACATTATTATTCGGAACAGAGCAACAAAACATTATAAATATATGTATATATATATATAAATTTCACAAATTTCAAACTTGGCACAAAGAGTAGTTAATATCCACTCTTATTTTTCCATACAATCCTCTCACTGCTTCTCAGAAATAAAAAAACTAGATATGAACATGATTGAAACTGTTTTTTTTTAGTACAAAGATACAGGATGGGCTATCTGCATTCCGTCGACTGCAGAGAAACTGACTCCATATTTTAATGGTGTAATTGAAAAAATTGGACAAAAATTAAAAGACTTTACATCTACTGATCATGTATGCATGCTGTATGAATGTTTTGTTCAAAGTGTCAGTACATTTTTCTCCTGGTTAAAACACAGTATGCAATATTCTCCGACTCCATAAAAATTAAAAATGCATTAGTTCACATAAAATGTACAAAACTCGATGTTCACTAATGTATCGGAACATTACAAAGTTCTGATTGAAACTTTTACATAAATAAAGACCGAAAACAGTGCCATACGTATTCACAAATATGAATAAATTCAATGTATGTACGAATGGAATACTATCCACCTCGATAAAATTCAAAATAGATCTTAAGTGCTACCACCTATGTATTTCCAGCTTTAATGATATATATGTTCCTTTATCAAGTGTCACATTAGGCAATGGGTAACAGAGTTCAGAGGAGGTAAATACTGACAAAAATTTGACTTTTAACACTAGGCTCACTTTTATCCCATTTGCCTTACAAGTTCACGTAATTAATAATAAACATTCGTTAGTTGATAAGTGGCAGCTCTTCGCTGACGATTCACTTAATGAAACTCCAAAATATCTAAACAAAAACTCTGATTCAATTTCAGTGAGAAGACTAGTTCCATTTAAAGGCTCATATTATTCTTAGGGTAAAGTGCTTTGAATTTAAACAACCCTCTCATCTTACTCTGTTGGAGCAGTGCTTTGAATTTAAACAACCCTCACATCTTACTCTGTTGGAGTAGTACCTTGAATTTAAACAACCCTCACATCTTACGCTGTTGAAGCAGTGCTTTGAATTTGAACAACCCTCAAATCTTACTCTGTTGAAGCAATGCCTTGAATTTGAACAACCCTCACATATCACTCTGTTGAAGCAATGCCTTGAATTTGAACAACCCTCACATATCACTCTGTTGAAGCAGTACCTTGAATTTAAACAACCCTCACATCTTACTCTGTTGAAGCAGTGCTTTGAATTTAAACAACCCTCACATCTTACTCTGTTGGAGCAGTGCCTTGAATTTGAACAACCCTCACATCTTACTCTGTTGAAGCAGTGCTTTGAATTTAAACAACCCTCTCATCTTACTCTGTTGAAGCAGTGCCTTGAATTTGAACAACCCTCACATCTTACTCTGTTGAAGCAGTGCCTTGAATTTGAACAACCCTCACATCTTACTCTGTTGAAGCAGTACCTTGAATTTGAACAACCCTCACATCTTACTCTGTTGGAGTAGTACCTTGAATTTAAACAACCCTCACATATCACTCTGTTGGAGCAGTACCTTGAATTTCAACAACTCTCACATCTTACTCTGTTGAAGCAGTGCCTTGAATTTAAACAACCCTCACATATCACTCTGTTGGAGTAGTACCTTGAATTTTAACAACCCTCACATATCACTCTGTTGGAGCAGTACTTTGAATTTAAACAACCCTCACATATCACTCTCATGTTTAAATTGCTTAATTGCAAATGATTAGATCATCTCTGTTATGAATCATTTTGAGATGAGAAAATAAAAGGATGATGTTCAAAATGCAGTCTCCATAAGACACACACACAAAAAAACACTCTCATTAGTACAGAATCTTATGGTCGTTTTCTTAATGCAAATATATAAACAATGGGATACCTGCACTTTGCCCACCATGGGTAATCGAACCACAGTTTTAGTGCTGTAAGCCCATAAAACTTACTGTTGACCCACTGGAGAAGTAGCTCCGATGGGAAAATAAAGACCGAACTAAACATGGCCACTACTGTACAGTTGCAGCCACGATGTAGCTCATTATACTTTAATTAATATCTTCAGCAGTGTTTTGGTTAGGTCAATTTCACTGTCCGTAAGATGTAAGAATCCATTTTCCAGGTAAAGATCTCAGAACACACTGTGTCTGTATTAAGGTAATAATTTGAGGGAGAGCAAACACAAAGTACAAATTATTGCATAAAGTATTCCGAATGTTCAGGGGGGGTATCTTTCTCAAATCTTTTTGCTTCCTCTTGCATGCTCTCTTTGATTTTTAGTATAGCTGCTGACTCATTCTGATCCTGGATAAATGTCAAAAGAACATAATCAATCTTCAATTACATGACTTATAAAATCTATGTTATCACGACTCATAAAATCTATGTTATCACAACTCATAAAATCTATGTTATCATGACTCATAAAATCTATGTTATCATGACTCATAAAATCTGTTATGACTTATAAAATGTACATTATCATGACTTATAAAATCTGTTATCCTGACTTATAAAATCTACGTTATCACGACTTATAAAACGTTTTCATGACTCATAAAATCTGTTATCACGACTCCAAATCTATAGTCGTGATAACGTAGATTTTATAAGTCGTGATAACCATCAAATCTGTTATCACGACTCATAAAATCTATGTTATCACGACTCATAAAATCTATGTTATCACAACTCATAAAATCTGTTATGACTTATAAAATGTACATTATCATGACTTATAAAATCTGTTATCTTGACTTATAAAATCTACGTTATCCTGACTTATAAAATCTATGTTATCACGACTTATAAAATCTATGTTATCATGACTCATAAAATCTATGTTATCACAACTCATAAAATCTGTTATGACTTATAAAATCTATGTTATCACGACTTATAAAATCTATGTTATCATGACTCATAAAATCTATGTTATCACAACTCATAAAATCTGTTATGACTTATAAAATCTGTTATCATGACTTATAAAATGTACATTATCACGACTTATAAAATCTATGTTATCACGACTCAAAATATATGTTATCATGACTCATAAAATCTGCTTTCATAACTCATAAAATCTATGTTATCACAACTTATAAAATCTGTTATCACAACTTATAAAATCTATGTTATCACGACTCAAAATCTCAGTTATCATGACTCAAAATCTCAGTTATCATGACTCAAAATCTCAGTTATCATGACTCATATAATCTATGTTATCATGACTCATAAAATCTATGTTATCACAAATTATAAAATCTATGTTATCACGACTTATAAAATCTATGTTATCATGACTTTTTTTTTAAAAGAATAACAGGTAACATGCTGCCTAGAAAATAAATGCTCCTAAGACATACTTAAAACTAATTTTGTAACTAATGGTTTTCAATGCCTGTGAAATATACAGCATTCACAAGTTATCAGCATGAATGAGGTGTTTCAATGTGGTAACGATTCTGTAATAACATGCAAACAATAATCAAATGAGAAAAAAAAAAGTTTTTTATTTGTAGAATTCATAAGATGTGATAACTATGACCACAAAATATCTCTGTCAATTCACAGTTGAAGTCTGAAACTGAGCTGAGACGAAGAAAACAAAACAACTAAATAACACAGTTCCAAAAACTGAGCAATTCCTTTGTGAAACGGAATAGATAATAAAAAATGTTATCGAATAAACCTAAAATTTCACGAAACTTTAACAGTGGAACTGATAATGGAAAAACACCATCGAAAAATATCTGCAGATCCACAATAACTTTTTCTATATGATACAGCTTTCCCCTTCGACCACTGTGGCCTATTATATGCCAAGCTTTGCCTCTCAGAAATTTAAGTGCAGTACTTTCTGAATTATTTTAGCCTGTCAGTTTTGATATGGGTGCCGAGTTGGTTCTTTGACTGAGTCTTGGTTGAGAGGGAGGAAACTAAAAGCGTTTTCAAATTATTCCATGACAGGAAAATAGATTGCAGAACTACTACAAAAGAAAGGTGAAAGTTATAGTCTATTCTACAAGTAGTCGAAAGTAGTATGAGCCAGTTCATTGCGAAGAAAAAACTTTAACTATTAGGGGGAAAAATGTATGCAGACAGACATAAGCCAAATGAAAAAAAATATATATATATATTATATATACATATATGCAAAGGAAGACAAAAAAAAAAAAAGATAGCAAGAAAACAAAGTGGTCATCAGCTACAGTTTGAGTCTTCAGTCTGTGAAAGATCACAAGAAGCAGGAAAATCAGTGCACTAAAGGTGAGGGTAATGACTCCAGTGAAGAGGCCAACGTACCTGTGATTCTATCCTGCACTTAAATTTCACAAGGGTGCCCCCTGGTGACCAGCACAAGCCTGCAAATGGCACTGCATGTCAATTCCTGATGTATCCCCCGGCATCTGTATCCCAAGAATATAGTATCAGCAACTGACCTTTTATATACACACTGAAACCAACTAGAATCTTGGCCAAACCTCAGCACTGAAATCTTAAGCTTTATTGTTACTGCTCTTTACACACAAATACAAAATGTTTGTTTTCATAATCACAGATATCTTTACGTAAAGAGGAAGAACTGATGAATACTCACGCTATCCTGTCCATAACCAGGGATACCATACTCGACCATAGGAGGTCCATCCTCCCTAGGAGTTCCTGGTCCATTAGCAGGAGATGTTTTTATTCCATCCAAGCCATCACCTGAAATATTGTTTACTTTTAATTGTGTATTGAATGACTCTTATATTAGTTAAAAAAAATTACTGGTTGTGCAACAAATCTCGGATACTTTACATATCTCACTCACGTGTATATATGGTTGTGCAACAAATCTCTGATACTTTACATATCACACTCACATATATATATGTTGTGCAACAAATCTCTGATACTTTACATATCACACTC